AGAGTTTTCACCGGCTGAGTTTTCAAAGTAGATTGCCAGGCTTTTCTTTTGTGGTGCTTCTAGGTGAACTCGAACCTCCAACCTTTCAGTTAGTGGCAGAGCTCATTAACTGCATTGCCTTGGGACTCAGTAGCAGCAGCAGTTAACATTAATTGAATGCTTGTTATGTGCTAGGCACTTTACTTGTACTATCTTATTTAATCCTCACATAAACCCTATGAGGCAGGTAATACAGTTTTCCACTTTTCCTTATGATGGAACTAAGGTCTGGAAAAGTTAAGTTAGGGGCAAGTAAGTGGCAGAGCTGGGATTCCTACCCAGCTCTCTCTTGTTTCAGACCAGGAGCACTTAACCACTGCCCTGTATCCAAAGTTACATTAAATTGAAAATGCTACAATGTTGCTTCTATTCATACCTTAAGGTATTTATTGTTTAATAATAGATAACATGTTGGAAAATAGAGGTCCACTCATCTTTAGTAAACTTATTAACAGTCTTTGTCCTAATGTTTATATGGTCCTACCTGTTTTTCTTTAATTATGATATGTAGAATTGTTTATTGACATGTAAATTTATCCATAATGTATTGTTAAATTTAAAAAATCAAATTATAAAATAGTATGACCTAATTTTATTAAAAGAATAGCTATGTATATAGCTACATCATTAAAATGTTGATAGTGGTAGGATTATGGATGATTTTATTTTCTTTGTAACTTTATTATCTGAATTATTTATTATTTTTTGATTTAACAATTATTCTCATTTTGAAAAAAAAATCAAGTGGACGTCAAAACTGCTTTTTTCTGTCACAACACTTCACTTGAACAACTAAATTTGGCATGCAGTATTCATATAGACAGCATTAGAAAGGACCTGGATTTCTGAATGCAAATCAAAATGTTGGACTGTATTGATTTTGACGCTATTTCTGATAGTGGGCCTCTAACAAATGATCATTATGATACCTTCATTTCTGTATCACATTTATTTTTTTTCTGCCCATAATACCCACTATACTCTTCTCTCTTTCTTATTCACTTTCTCACTCAGAATATGGAAGATAGAATAGACCTCAGTTTCTTATCCTATCCTGTTTTTTAGCTGAAGGCCAAGAAAGTTCAAAAGCAGTAGATTTCTGAATGTAAGAGAATGCCAGAGGTTGCTGCATTTAAAGTACCTTACACGAGGCAAGTTTGTGAAGGTGATGTTTTCCCAACAAAACACCAGAATATCTAAGTTTATCCATTTTAAACGAACACCTTTAATAGTCTTACTGGTTATAAAACTATAATTGGGCATTTTTAGGATTAGCTTATAATTTTACCTTTTAAAAGATATTAATTTGTATAAATAAGTCATTTACAAATGATAATCTCTATAGAGAAAGAATATACTCCAGGATATCTTTAAAGAATAATATAATTCCACTTATTTTACGCAACAGTTTGTGTTATTGTAGGGAAATGGGAAACATTTTTGTATATAAATTCCTCTTCCCAACTAAGAGTAGTTGAGCAGAAAGTTCCACTGAGAGTCACAGGGCAAATACTGTATATGGCTACCTGTCTTTTAGTAACATTATGTCTTGCCAGTTTCAATCCATTGACACAAAGATCTCAGCACCATATTAAGTCACACCATGACCTATAAGAGCCCTGGTGGTGCAGTGGTGAAGAGCTTGGCTGCTAACCAAAAGGTCGGCAATTTGAATCCACCAGCTGCTCCTTGGAAACCATATGGGGCAGTTCTACTCTGTCCTATAGGGTCGCTATGAGTCAGAATCAACTGTAACAGGTTTGGTTTTTTATTTTTATTTTTTAATGACTTTTAAAATATGACAGGACAGCCCCAGGAGAACTATTACACTGTTTCTCATTTTCAGTAAAAAGTCTAACAGAATAGTGATAAGAATTATACTTTAGAACTTAATCATACATTGTAAATCATTTATATTACAAACTGCAGTGGAGAGCATGTGCTGGCACAGCTAGGCTTTACATATTCTTTGGAAGCACAGAAAGTTCAAGGATGCCTTATCCATCTTCATTTCAAATCTAGTCTCATAAAAGCTGGGTTTTCTGAGTAGAATTTCCACAAATTAGAGAAGTGGGACACTGTACCACCATCGGTAACTCTGGTCAGCTGACCAGCTCATGTTCATTATCTGGGCCTTACATATGTCTCCTTTCTGGTTAAATTAAGGAAAGGCCTTAATTGATCCAAGAGCCCCAGTTGCTACTTAAGGCGGCAGTATCACTGGTTTGGCATAGATTCAATACCATCCTGCAAGATCAGCAGTTCCGAGCTGACCTGCAGAGCCCAGTTCCTGGAGGTGGTGCAGTTCAGTGGCAATCTAAAATACAGATCTGAGCGTTTTTTTACATTCGGGATGATCAACCCCTGCTCAGTATACATTGTTATCCCAATATTATGAGAAACCTTATATATGAGGTTCTGGCAGGCTTCTTCCACAGAAGCATGAAGGATAGGAAACTGTAGTAATCCCAAGGAAGCAGCCTTTAGGAAGAAGGGCATGAAGGAGAGTTCAATTCCACGAGCAAAAGCAGTGGGTTTTGTCTTCTTGTAACTTAACTGCTCAGTAAGGTAAGCCTCATTACAGTACCCAAAGTGAGGACTCTTCAGGGCTGCAGTCATGGTCTTAACCATTGCTTTGTGAAAGCCTTTTGGGGGTTCTGTTCTGTCTTTGCCTGTGAATACTGAAGGCTTTGATATTGGTATAGGAATAGTCCTGTTTGGTTTTGGCGGAGATGGCATAATTTCAGCTTTTGGAGAAGGAGGTAATATAGCTCCTGTCTGCTTTGCCAAATAGTTGAGAGTATCTTCTTTTAAGTATTGTGCTATCTTTTCCTGAGTCAATAACTTCACACAACTTAATATTGTTTTTCATTGAGAGGTGGCAAACTGCAGGAGGTGCCAGTGTTTTTTGGCCTTTTGTCTTTTGATGTGTGTGTTCATCATGGGAGACAGCAGGAGTTTCAACAACCTCTTTTTCTGAATCTTTTGAAGCTTCCATTTCTATGTCTACTAATGGCTTCCCCACATAGGCAGTCTCGTCTAGATTATAACAGAGTTTTTTAATGACTCCATTATAACGACCAGTGATAGTAACAGAAGCTTTATCCCTTTGAACTTCACAGATGTTATCAAACTGAGACACTGTATCTCCTTTTACATACCACTCTTTAACAGTTACTTCTCCAATGTCTGAGAGTTTGAATTGAACAATCTGTCCACACAGAGCAGCAGTTGTTTTCAGCAACCGATGTGGATGGCTGTATTTGAATGAAGGCTTACCAAAGAAACGTGCATAGTTTGGCTTCAAAACATGAACACTACTACATGTTTGAAGATGTCAAACACACGTCAGCTGCCTGGCATCCTGGTTCCAGGTTCTCAGTTCTCATACTGCCGCCGTCTTTCTCCAGGAAGGACAGTTGCCCCCCTACCTGTTTTTCTTAATGCCACAACCAGTTTATTAAAGAAACACCATCCCATACAACTGTAGGCTTGGGCTCGGAACATTAAAAAGTAAGGGTGCCTGTGTATATAAACACAAGATAGATCTGAGTGTCTTTTACTTTACATGTGGTGATTTTACCCTTTAGTGTGCACCCCAGCTTCTGGGTAGTTTCAGAAGTTCTGATCTTCTCGGATCTTCCCTAGACATTGAATTACAGGTTTGGCTGGCCTGGGAGACGTCACTGTGCCTGGATGTTGGCTTTCCTTTGGTCACACAGATGGGTCTGCCCTGTATAAACCTGGAGGTTGGAAGGAAAGAGTCAGAGAAAGCTTTTGTGGCTTCTGGCTCTTCTCCTGCAGTTGGAAGCAGGGGTAAAGGAGATTGGACAGACCATAAAGCTCTCAGAGGCCTTTCTGAAGTTCTCAGGATGTGTATCCTTACGGGATCCAGGCCACTGAACCTCCTTACCTCTTCTACTGGGGGTACCCCAGCAATAAGGGCACAAACCCAGCCTTTTTTTTTATTCCGTTTTCCTCCAAGTCACTCTCTAGCCCCTTCTTCTGTAGGAAGGAGGGGACAGCAATTGCTTTACTATTCTGTTCTCCATGAGCTTTCTGAATACTGATTTCATAGGTGCTGGGTGTCATCAAAGCGCCACCTGGACTCTGAGTTAAAACCCAGGGACCTTCAGAGGATTCTTGGAGCAGCTTTCTTACCTCCCCTGCACTGCCCATCTTTCCCACTGATGATCCAGAGATTTAGCTTTGTGCTTATATAAAAGTAACAGAAATTATAGTCACCTGTTTGAAAGCAACCCCCTTCCCTTTTTTAAAAACCATTTATGTTCAATTACAGTGCAGGAAAGACCAGTTGCTAGAAAAGGACATCATGTTTGGTAAAGTACAGGGTCAGCAGAAACAAGGTAAACCCTCCATGAGCTGGATTGACACAATAACCTCAACAATGGCTCAAACACATTAAAGTTCATGAAGATGGCACAGGACCAGGCAACGTTTCATTCTGTTATGCATAAGGTCGCCATGAGTAGGAGCCACCTTGATGGCAGCTAACAACAGCAGTGCAGGAAAATGATTACGTGTGCCGCTACATATAGTCTTTGATGTTTTTGAATAAGTTTTATTGGATTGTAACACTAAAGTCAGTGCTTGGATGCTGAGGTGCTATACCTTATGCTTCGTCCAGTGTGACCGGCCAGTCACAACTTTAAAAACCCAAAGGGGACTCTGCTCATCACCACTAATTTTCATTTGGGCATTTGGTTTTGTAACTGTTTTTGTCATGCCATGCAGGTGTTCCCTTCTATTTCTTTTAGGAGCTCAGCAGGTGACCCTTGTGTAAGGGTTTGATCGAGACAACATGGAACAGCTCATTTGGGCATCAGTACAGCCAGTCAGTGATTGGTGGTTTGAACCAAGTTAAGATAGACATTGTTAGTGTTAATTATACCTGGTTTAATTAGGCTGTGATAATTATGCCCAGATTATTTGCCTTGTAGAATGTGCCTAAGCCTGGACACAAAAGAACAGACTCCACCCACAGCAGCAATGAGTCTGAATATACCTTCAGCTCTGAATTTGCAGAAACTGAAGATACTCCATGGAGGACAGAGGTATATTTTAGACATCTATTCCTGAAAGTAGGATGTGACCATACTGTTGTTCATAGGTAGCATTTCCATTACAGAGTGGACCCCAAACCAAAAATAACCAAACCCGTTGCCACCGAGTCAATTCCGACTCATAGTGACCCTATAGGACAGAGTAGAACTGCCGCATAGAGTTTCCAAGGAGCAGCTGGTGGATTTGAACTGCCAGCCTTTTGGATGGCAGTCGAGTTCTTTAACGACTGTACCACAGTTGCCCATAAACACATAGTATTGGTTCTGAATTGTTTATTCTTCATGAGTGACTTGTAGGTGCTTCATTAGCTGTGTACATACATACTTATTTTATTGTCAATTTTTAATATAATTTTGATGGCCATATTTTCCCTTTTTTGATTTGTTTTTACACTTTAATATATTCTGTGTACAAAAAATATAGCCTGTCAGAATTTATTTCAGACTCAGGAAAATTAAAAAAAATAAAAAAAGTAAATACTTTGTCTTTGAATTTTATAAATCCCAGTTCCTGAGAGTTTAGCAAAACTGCTGCCTCTGTTTGATACCAGTTGTTACCGGTGTGATTTTCTTCCACAGAAATACACAGAAAATCATTTAGAAATCTGCTTTAGTGTTTTATGTGATGTGGTATGAAGCCCAAATAACTTACTGCTCTAACTCTAAATCTACAGAGATTTTAAGTTAGATTCTTCCCAAACCAATTCGCAGGTCTTCTTTTCAAATATACTCTTTGTTTTAATAATGGTTAATTCGGGTACAACTCTTCCATTTTTGTATCATATTCTGAGAAAACGGCCAAGTCAGAAACAGACTGCTTCTGACAGAACAGCTGAAGAAATTGAATGATTCTTTCCTTTCTCGTCTTAGAATACAGAGTTTCTGCCATCTCATTCTGTTCATTTTTTAAAAAATGTTTCCTTAAAGCAAATAATCTTTGTTAAATGAAGCTTCAGAGGTGCTGTTTTCATCTCTGAGCATGATGATGGCAATCTTTGTTGAAAACTGTTTGTCTAATGTTTATCTGTTTATGAAGCTGTTTTAGTCACTAGGACATGGTCCTAGCTGTTGGGGTTAACAGGACTAAACTTCTGGAGGACCGAAGCAACGCTGAAAACTCTAGGCTGGGCAGCAATATTAAAAAGCCAACACAGCATGTGAAAATCAAGCTTATCAAATAGAGGAATTAATTATTTTTTCCATTAGGATGTAATTATTCCTGGTGGCAATTAACTGATGGCAATGCTTCTGCCATCCAGCTTCCTCCTACCTATCAAATCCAGGGAAAGAGTTACCATAGCTTTCTCAGTTATTGCTAGGAGTAATTCCAGAATGACTTCCAGGCCTGTTGTGGTAATTTTGTGAATAAATTTTGTTATCTTCCTTTTAATTTTCTCAGAGGAGAGACTCATGTTATTTTTTTAGGTCAGTTTACAGCTTCACTCTCTTAGAAACGCCCCAGGTGACAAAGTCCTTAATAAGAAAGGAAAGCAAAACAAACCGCAGAAACTTCTTTGAGCCAGATGACCCAGTCTTCCTTCTTGCTCCTATGGTGGAGAGAGGACAAATGGAATCTCTTTAATTTAATGTGTCATTAGAAAGAAGCATGGACACCTTCCCCCCAAATCACTCTTAAATAATTCCCAACCATTATGCTTCAAGGCATTTTGCAGTTGTCAAATGTTATCTTTTGTGTTCTTCCAGCTCTTGTTTTATTATTCCTGTCCATAGAATTTTGCTGTTATTCCTAGCAATCAGTTAATTCTTTATGTAGTATTAGCAGATATTCCAAAGGTTACCTCTATACCGTTTTAATGAGGATTTTTGTTAAACAAAAATGTCCATTCAAGACTCAAGGAAATGGTTTCCAAATGATGACATTTTAGGTACAGTGAATGTAATAGAATTCTACTATAATATAAAAAGTTCAAATAATTTAATATTTCAGGGATACATAGATTAAAAGATGAACAAACATTAAAAATACATAAGATGGAATGTTTAAATTATAAATAAGCTAAATTATAAGTTCATTTGTGGGGGGTATAGAAATAAATTTCTATATGAGGGAAATTCTGTTGTAATTTTATATTCAGGCAAGACACAGTCTCTGTTCTGCTAAGTCAGGACAAGCTTTATGGTGAAGATCATACACAAACTTTTTCTTACTGTTGAGCATTATAGAGTGGACATAGGAAAAGTTGAAGTGTGATTACTTTGTGGGTAAATAATCTTGACAGCCTATAAAAGCCCCTTAGTTCAGTTGATTCTTCCTAGTCTTTCTTATAACTGTAAGCACACTGAACTTGGTACTGCTCACAATTCACTAAAGACCAAAGATAGCTAATGAACATGAAAATTATTCAACCTCATCAAAAGCCAGAGAAACGCAAATTAAAGTAACAATGAAATGCCACTTTTGGTCTATCAGCTTAAGTTTTTTTTTTAAATGTTAAGTCACTGCTGTTCCAGGCCAGGTGGTAGTTGCTGATGTAAGTGTAAATTGACCTAGCCAATTTAACATCTCATACCAAGAGACTTCAAAATGTTGATGTTGAGATGTTTATGTGCTAGGATGTTTATTGTAGCATGTTTGTTTATTTCAATAGCAAAAACTTAGAAACAGATAATAGCTAAGCACATGATGGTACACCTGTCTATATAGCTACTAAAAATTATGGTTTTAAATATCGCATTGTAAATTTGGCCAACAGTTATAGTACAATACTAAGCTAAAAAGACAATACAAAATTATAATGAAAATATTATTTCAGTTCTTTATAGATGCATAGAAAAAAGACTGGGCAAAAATTGTGGGTTTTCTTATTTCCTAAATTTTCTATAAAAGTTTGTTTTGCTTTTATAATCAGAAAAATGAAAGTGTCTTTTTTAAAACTGGCAAAAATAAGATTTGCTAATCACTTAAAATTATACTTTGACCATTTCGCTAAATGAATAGGTCATTGTTTAATCTCTCTTCCTCTCTCCCCCTTTCTTTTTCCCTCCCTCCCTCACAGAAAGGATTTTTGATTCTCTCCATTAAATTTAATGATACAATTATTTTCTCTTATCTCATTAAAAGTTAAAACCTGAAGTAAATAAGGTAAAACAATGTGACAGTCTCAGAATTTCCATGATGAAGATTAGTTCTTTCTTTCTTTTTAGCTTTAATTGGTATTCCTTTATTTATTCTAGTAGTTTTCACTGTAATTCTGTTTTGTAACTAATTGACATATTTCTAAGATGCTACTAGGTTATCCTTCAGTTTAAAAGGTATATATATGTATATAATTCCATTACCAGTTTTTTCTCTGTCTAATCTCAGTATATTTATGCTGGCACTTCACCATTTAAATTATTTTCCTGATTACAAAAGTAGTGCCTGCTCATTGTAAACAATTCAAATATAGAAGTGTATAAATTAGAAAATGACAGCTCCCCATAGTTCCTCCCACTCTCCAAGGTAACCACTGACGGCCTGGTACTAGATATACTTTTAAAGGTCATGTACATTTGTTTTTTTAACAAAAACAAGATCATCATATACATAATCTCCTGTAACTTGTATAGCCAAAATATATTTTGTAGCTGTTAAAAAAAATGAAGTAGAAAATACAAGTTGCCCCATATATATCTTTGTGTACTTGAACATCATCATGTGAGATATTGTTGCTAACACAGGCAATATTGATCTTTTCAGTCTTTCAAATTGGTAGGAGAAAAAGTGTTGTTTAATTTGTGTATCTCCAGTTAGGAGCTAGGTTGAGCATGTTTTAATATATTCTTCTGAAGTTTGCCTGTTTTTCTACTGGGCTGCTCATCATTTTCTCGTTGACTTATGTATCTTCTGGCTGGCTTGTCTTGACCGTGCTGTGATTTCTGGGTATTAGGAGCCGAGCGAGAAGAAGGTGCCTCTGGACATGTCGTTGTTCCTCAAGCTCCAGAAGCGGGTCACAGAGTTGGAGCAGGAGAAGCAGGTGCTGCAGGATGAGCTGGACCGCAAGGAGGAGCAGGTGCTCCGCAGCAAGGCAAAGGTGGGCAGCACTGCCCAGCCCCTAAAGCCAAAGCAAAAAAGGCACCCAGGCTGGGACTTGTCCACTTCTCCAGTCTCCTCTTTAATGGGAACTCAGCTGAGAAGTAACTTAACCAAGCAACATTTGGATAAAGTCGTGAGGGCTAAACTCGCCTTATTGTTTTCTGTAGAGCAAGTAAATATTCTCAGAGCAAAACTGTGACAATTAAAATATAAAATGTATTTTTTCCCTAGGAAGAAGAAGGACCACCAATTAGAGGTGCCGAACTGGAGTATGAGTCACTCAAGGTAATGGGAATTTTCTGCCCAAGACACTGAATATTTTGTTTTTGCAAGTATTACAGAGACCTGCACAGAGCCTCTCTTATCAAAGAACAGCCTTAAGGGCTGGAAGTTGCACTGGAGACCTTAAGGTTTATTTAGGTGTTACTTCTAGTCTTGAGTTGTTTCCTTTTATAAATTCTGTTTCATACAAGCTACACTTCAATCTGAACAGGAACAGGAGCAGTAACTGCCATTTGAGGCTGTAGAGATTAGTAAAGGCTATGGTCTGTAGAGAGAGAGAGAGTGATTGATTAATTTTAAGGAATTGGCTCATGTGATTGTGAGGGGCTGGAAAGTCCAAAATCTGTAGGTCAAGCAACAGGCTGGAGATTCCTGCAATCTTATGTTCCAAAATCCATAGGTCATGTGATAGAAAGGATGAAGAGTGAAGAAGTTCTGGCAAACTGTATATTTATAGACTGGAGGTAGAATACACCCCAGGGAAAACTCTCTTTTTGTTCTTAAGACTTTCAGCTGATTGGATGAGGCCCACTCACATTATGGAGGGTAATCTGCATTACTCAGGCCCACTGATTTAATCACATGTAAATACTTCATAACCACATCTAGACTAGTGTTTCACCAAACAACTGGGCACCATAGGCTAGTTACTATTTTTTGCCTTTGCAAATTATATTCTAGAATGGCTGGAAAATTACCCTAAGGTTTATGATTACAACCAAACAGAGCTAAAAATTAGAAAAGCCACAAAATAACATAAGGAAACTCAATATTATCTTAAAGCCTTTACATGTATTTGAGAATTCCTAGGCACTCTCCAAACTGCTGTGAAGTTTTTGTTTGCTTTTTCAGTAAATTCAAGTCTAGTCCCTGACCTGTTTCCTAGTACTGTGATTTAGAACATAATTTATGCCATTAATAGGACCCTGTCCTCTGGATTTACCACTTCCTAAGGCTCAGAACTGCTGATTACTGCTTCCTCTCCAGGCTGTATGACATCTTTGTATAAAGAGAACACTTGTCCTCTATCCTGCCCAAACCCACAATTCTTTTATCAGCTCCTTCCCCTGAAGATAGTTAAACTCTTACACTGATATTTAATAAACATTTGACTAATAACACCTTGTATTTATAGTTTGACTTTTTTTTTAATGCTTTATCTCATTTAATCAGTGTTACAACCTCTGAAATAAGTTTTTTATTCCCTTTTCAAAGGTTAGTAAACTGAGGCTTAGAACAATTATGTTATTTACTATCAGATGGTAGAGGCTGATCTTGAATCCAGGTCTCCACACTACAGGAAACTTTCCACAATAATCTTGGTTCCTATCATTACTTGTTTAGAAACTAATTTTTACAATAAATAAACAACAACAACAAAAAAATACACTCACACACACACATAGTATTTACCTTTTAAATCCCCTAAAGGATCCTTTTACTCTTTCTAAATTATACCATAAATAAATCTCTTGCTCCATCAAAAGAAATACAACCGGAGTGGTATTTATATATCTGGAAAAAGAAAAGGGTAGCAGAAAAGAATCATCTCTATTATTCTTACTCTCCATTGCCTTTTGTACTTTTTGTCTAGAAGACCAAATCATGTGACTAGCCAAGTAATGCTCAACAAGCTTAAATCTAAGCCAAAGGAACTTTCTGTTTCTATTGAGTTTAGAATGCTCAATTGACAAGAGTATAGATGTAAATTTAGTGGATTATGGAACTCCAAGATCTTGGCAGTTCTCTGGATATCTGTCCTTTACTGAATGCAGCCTGCAAGCCTGATGGGTCACTGTCCTAGTGCCCTTCCACTTCAGACCTCTAGACCTGCAGTGCACTCTAATATGCCTGTAGTCATGTTATTCTTCATCATATGGTACAACTGTATATGGTACAGACTCTGCTACTGTTTTTGAATCTATGCTTTTAAAAAGTGCTTCTTTATTAGGACTCAGTTATCCAAACTCATGATCCACATTTTAGCCCTTGGTGGAATAAACATTTATTATACCTTCAGATAACTCTAAATATATATGTTCTGTGTATTAACATACCAGGGCTTTGAACCAGTTCCTTCCGGTTTGAACCCCTGCTAAGAATTTGCGTTTCTAACAAGTTCCCAGGTGATGCTAATGCTGCTGGTTAGGGACCAATTCTGAAAACCACTAGTAGAGCAGTGGTTCTCAAAATTTATTATACACCTGCGGATCTTGTTAAATGTAGATTCTGATTTAGTATATCTGGGGTGGGAATGCAAATTCTTAGCAGGGGTTCAAACCGAAACAAACCAGTTCGAAGCCTAGTAACATACTCATAAACAGAGTAGGTAACCATGTTTTTGGAGGGCACACCCAACCCAGAATAACATCCCACTGGCATTTCACTGGTCTAGGCTGCTCTTCTTTGGATCACAACCATAAATATAGATGAGAACATTTTCTGAACTATTGTTAAAATGCATGTGATCCTTCCCCTAAAGCACAGTAAAATGTGCAAGGAAAAAAAAAAAAGTCTATCTACTAGAGCAAAAAAAGCCCAGGGTGCACTCAAGGCAGAACCTGAGGGGGAGCCATAAGAGACCAGCCAGGGGGAGTGTCATAGATGCAGTTATGTCCCCCAAAAAGATATGTTAAAGTCGTGACCCTTGATACCTGTGAATGTGACCTCTTACGAAAATGTTGTTAGCTGCTGTTGAGTCGGTCGTGGACTCACGGCGACCCCATGTGCAATGGGATTGGACTGTTATGATTCATAGAGTTTCCGTTGGCTGATTTTTTGGAAGTAGATCGCCAAGCCTTTCTTCCTAGTTTGTCTTAGTCTGGAAGTTCCACCAAAACCTGTTCAGCATCATAGCAACACACAAGCCTCCACTGACAGATGGGTGATGGCTGCACATTAGGTGCCTTGGCCAGGAATCAAATCCAGATCTCCCACATGGAAGGAGAGAATTCTACCACTGAACCACGAAGTTATCAGTTAAATTAACATGCAGTCATACCAGAGTAGGATGGATCCTAATCCAATCTGAGTAGTGTCCTTATAAAAGAAAAGAGATACAGAGAGACAGAGGGGTGACATTGGAGGCAGAAATTAGAGTTACACTGCAGCTGCAAGCCCAGGAACCTGGAGCTACCAGAAGCTGAGAGAGACCAGAAAGAGAGAGCGTGGCCCAGCCAACACCCTGAATTCAGACTTCTAGCCTCCAGAACTGAGACAGTTCATTTCTGTTGCTTTAAGGGGAAAAAAAAAAAATGCATGTGATACATAGAGTGCTGAGAAGGCCTTCTCATGATTTTGTTCATTAGCTTAATTGGAATTGATAATCATTTTGGGCACCACAGAGAACCTGGCCTGACCAGACTGGGAGACAGAGCACAGAAGTTTCAGTGGGTAATGTCAGCAACATGTTAACAATGGCTAGGCCTGCACAAGTCCTGAGTGATAGAACTGGGACCATCAGGTCCTGCATTATGCCTCTGAGCGCATTCGCATTGCTTTTCTGTAATAGAAGACACGTGAATGCTTTTATGTTGCAGCCCAAGCTCTAATACAGTGCTTCTCCATCTTCAATGTGCATCAGAATCACCTGGAGATCTTGTGAAAACACAGACTTCTGGGTCCCACACCCAGAGTCTCTGATTCAGCGGGTCTGGGGTGGGGTTCTCAAACCTGCATTCCACGTTACAGGGCGGTAGCAAAATGAATGGACGCTAAAGGCAAAATGTGTGTCCTGGCCAGTGTTGCCGAGGACCAGTACCCTTACTATATAGGCAAATATCTCCCCCTTCTCTCTTCTGTCCCCCTCAGTCCTCCCCATATGGTTTGGATAGATGAGGCAAAGTGCATGCCTGATATGAGCATGGCATTTGATGTGATGGGACAGGCAAAGGGAATGGGAGTAGGAATCTGTTCTCCAGCTCTTCTCCCTTTGCCTCCCTCACACAAAAATGGACAAATAGAGACATTCCCTGTAGCATGTTAAAAATGAAGCCCAGACCACAACATTCCCAAGTATTAGACCAGTGGTTCTCAAAGTGTGGTCCCCAGACCAGAGCATCAGTACCGCCCTGTAAGTTGGAATGCAGGTTTGCGAGCCCCACCCCAGACCTGCTCAATCAGAGACTCTGGATGTGGGACCCAGCAGTCTGTTTTCACAAGATCTCCAGGTGATTCTGATGCACATTGAAGATGGGGAAGCACTGTATTAGAGCTTGGGCTGCAACATAAAGGCATCGTGTTTTCTATTACAGAAATAAGCAATATGAACCTGATTACCAGTTGGTGGGAGACTCGAGATGGGAAGGAACATTCATTGTCACATAAGAATGGATTAATTCATGAAAGGAAGAGTTACATGTTCTTAAACTAGGGGGAAAAAAGACTTTAAATAGTTTTAATACAACATAATGAAAGGTCTGATATGGTATGACAAACCCAGGATTGCTTCTCTAGGAAGAAACAAAATATTTGATCCTTATACAGAAGTGTCTCATTTCTACTATCACAAGGCCCTGTGTCATGTGCCTAATAAGACACCATAGTGCTTTTAAGTGTCTGCTTAACCGTTTCCCAACCAGTATCTTGTGACACTTTTGCTTTAGTGTCAGTCTCATTCTTTCCTGAGTTCCCACTGCCACTGATTGAGCAGTTTGTGGAGAGGGCAGTGGTAACTGACGGAACGAGAATGGCTAATATGATGTGAAAGTATGGAGGAAGTGAAGGATGTGTATGTCCATCTGGACGGCTAAGGAAGAGGTGGCCCCTCTTCCCCTTCTAATTCCCAAAGCTGCTTTCAGCAACTTTAAAAGCATGCCACCCGGTGAAGAAGTTTCAAAAACAGATGATTTGTTATCAAAACACTAAAGGGAATTTTATCTGTTTAAATGGTGTAGTAATTTTTTTATTAGAAGATAAAGCCTCAGATTTCAGTGGTCTTTCAATTCTGCTTTACCAAGGCAATAATAGGACGCTACTCAAGATTTCAAGGATCTCTCTTAGAGGCCTGTGAGCGGCCATCTAAGATACTCCACTGGTCTCATCCCTTCGGGAGCAAGGGAGAATGAAGAGAACAGGATACAAGGAAAAGATTAGTCCA